CCCTGTGGCCCTGATGATCTTGTGATTTTTCACTTTACGATAGAAGACTTTAGGTCAACAGCTTTTTATATGGATGTCTATTTATTTGGTATGCGCGCTGCTCGAGACGAACCACCTATATATGTAGCCTATCAACTTTTGTTGCCAGATATTTTTAAATGTTCCGAAGGCAGAATTGAAGTGCCAATCACCTGCTCATTTAAACATCGCATAGTAGGTTATGTGACAATCGATTTTCTTATTGTATTACCCACACCTGAAATATATTGTGACATGAAACTTTCTTATGAGCGGTACTGGAATCCAGAGAAAACTGGTTTGTATGTCGGTCATAGAGGGCTTGGGCCCAACTTTGTAACAGCAAATCAATGTTTGGTGCGAGAAAATACTATTGTATCTCTTAAAGCTGCTGTTGAAGAAGGAGCACATATGGTGGAATTTGATGTTCAACTTAGTAAGGACATGGTGCCAATAGTTCATCATGATTTTCAAGCACATTTTTGGGTAAAGGCACGCAAATATTTGAAAACTATGGAAATACCCATACAATCGTTGTTAGTAAGGCAGTTAAAAAGTCTTAAGGTAGCAATTAAAGAACTATATTTTTATAATTTTTAATTAATATTAACATTTAAGGTTAACGAAGTCAAACAGGAGGAAAAAGAAATATCGGAGTGTTGCTTTAAAAGGGATGTTGTTGAACACTTACCATTTCCCACGCTGGAGGAAGTTTTTGAAGCCATACCGTTGACAGTGGGATTTAATATTGAAATAAAATGGGCACAAAGGCTAATAAATAATAGATTGGAAGGAAGAGGAAAACAAAAATTTGATCCAAATATGTATGTTGATATAATGTTGCAATGCATATTTCGGCATGCCAACGGACGTCGTATTATACTTTCTTGTTTTGATGCAGATATATGCACTTTGCTACGATATAAACAAAATTATTATCCAGTTTTATTTATTAGTCAAGAGTGTCCAGAGGGCAGTATACCATTTAGAGATCCAAGACCCAATAGCTTGCAAACGGCGGTATATAATGCAAATGCTATGGAGTTGTTAGGTATTGTTGCACGTACTGAAACTATTTTACAAGACACTTGTCAGGTATGTAACAGTTTTATATATCAGTGACAAATTTGAATTTTTTTTACATTAAGGTGAACATGGCTATAAATCGAGGTTTGGTCATGTTTTGCTACACTACTTACAGTCCGACAAACGATGTTTCTGTTCTTAAACGTTTAGGTCTACATGCAATATTATATGATAAAATGGAAATGTGCGAAAGAATAATAAAGGTATTGAACCTAATTAAACATATGTTATTTGTACTATTCAAAAAGAGTTTAAAAGCTAATCGTTAAGTATTTTTCAGGATGGAGTGTTTCAATTACAAGCCGAAGAGAGTACTGTAGAGGAAATAAATGAAGAAGTTAGAGTGAGCATGAGACCACAGCATCCTGCATTTCTTTACCAGTAAATGCTACACTTTCATTATTTGTGTATTAAATTGAAGACCTTTGCATTATTAATTTTTTCGAAATTATTTTTATTATCAGCTAATTTACATTGATTAAACGAAGGTGCTTAATGAAGATCTTCACTCAAATTAAAATTCAAAGAAAGTTCGCTTGACTTTCCGAGTATTTTCATACTCACTCCTTTTTGAGTCTCACTTGCTGAAATTTTGTTTTTGTTAAATATGGAGTTTAATGGCTTCACTTCAATAAGCAGCTTAAGATTTCCGTTTTCGTCAAGCAAATGGCATAAACTTAAATTAAGTGTCAATGCCAAACTATTTTGAGGGCAAAACAAAACGTATGAGATTAAATCTTGCTGCATATATCGACACAAAACAATCAAGGAAGTAAGGCCAATGATACAGGTACATACACACGTTTCCCCAAAACTTCCTAATAACTTCTCTATAAATTCCCTTTTATGCATTTTAAATAAGTTGAAAGCGAACCATTGAAGTATATTAATGACAAAAGATGAAACGATATCAAAGCTGGTTGACGGATATACTAAAGATATACTACATATTGTATATCCTATATGTGTACAAATATGTGTACATGTACATATCAGCAAACGCGGTTAATATATCTTGTTGTATCTTCGTACAACATGCCGAATAAGGATAGGTAGGCGAATTTTGATTTATGTGCAATCAGGTGGTAATAATGAATTATTTATGCTGAATTATGTGCTGCGTTGAAGAAAATTCCATATACAACTCTATATAGAGCTATGTTGGCTTATATAATTATATACGTGTTTATATTTTTTTTTTTGCTTAACGAAAACAATGGAGAATCAGGCGAATTACACGTAACAATGGAGGATCAAGTTCATATAATTGGGAGGAGTTGGGAGAAGTAACATTCACATGGCCGCACTGATATGCAAAGTTCTGATAAAATAATAGCAAGTGGTTAAAACTTAGCTCCTTCAACTCATTTTATATGAATCCATATAGCTTTTTTGCAATCCACAAATTTGCCTATACAAAATTTAACAGCCAAAACCATTTAAACCACAATGCAGCAGTCAAGCAGTTAAGCAGTTAAAGTCTTAACCTCATCTTGCTTTCAACTACTGGCTACGACTATTGCTTAAAGTGAGGGTTAACATGATGACTTCCTGCTTAGCATGCTGGCAGAAATTTAACAATAGACTACTTTAGAAGTTTATCGTATTGTAGCTTCATGAAAGAATATGGAAAATTCGCAACGATTTTTAGTTTTCATTGCTAAAATTAAAATTAAATTTTGCATGAGCAACAACGATGATTTTGTTCTACTAGAATCACTTGGTGTTTGTCTAAGAAATAAAACGAAGAGATTAAGAAAATGAAAGGAAAACCACACAAAATGAAAAACCTACAATTGGTCTTAGAGGCTAAACAAATATTGTTTTTGTATTGTTTTAATATTATAATAGATCATTTTTCCAATATATTATAAGTTATAGTTGTCACAGCCACCGTCGGGGCTGCGTCCAGCGTTCACAATATTTAGTTTTTATTCCCCGGGTTGATCTTTGTAGTGTTATGATCTATTCTTTATAGTCTAGGAGGTTTTTCCTAAGCATGTTGTCTGCGTTTATTGAGACAATATGTCTAGCACATCTTTGACAAGCTAGTTTTATGTGGCATGCTGTGTTTTGGTCATTATTGTTATTATTAATTTTAAAATTACAATTTTTTTAGTTAAATCAGTTTAAAATAGATAAACTATGTATGACCATGGTCTATTTAATCGTCTCTCCGAGGTTTGGTAATGCATGAAAAAAATAAAAATACTTAATCAACGATGATATCCTTTTTGCATGCTAGTATATTCGTAAGGAAACCGATCATTTTGACCTATTTGCTATTATCCTAATAGTCCTTATAATTCTAACAAAATATTAATTTTACTTCCTTCAACATATAAAGCTGTAATGAACTCAATATGCCAACTCAAATATCTTGACATAGAATTCAAAAGTTTTGAACGAGTAAACGAAACGAGTAAACGGAAGTCGAAACGTAAAGTGACCACATTATCTGGCATTGAAAAGTTTTATATTACCATTGCGTTTCTATTTATATATAGAACATGTATCCTCATAAATATTTGTATAACTTCACATGTATCCAAACCTCATAGTAGACAATCTCAAGAGGTTAATTTGAATAATAAAACGCCTTAAAACAAAACTGATAAAATTTTGGTCTTCAAATGAAATTTTTTTTAATATATTAAAAACACTGAAATAAGTGCTTCAAATTTTAAAATGAATTTAAAAAATACTATAAATAAATCATATGTGGATCAATTAAGTTTTGCTATGTTTAGAGCATAGTGTTCTAGAAATTGTTAAAATTTTGTTATGAATTGTTTGGGGAAATTGTTTGGGATTATCATAACACATAATTTCATTTTACCTATAATTTTTATACATATGGTATATTGCTTGTATATAAACACAGAAATATAAAATTGATACATTTTCATATTTTCATACTCAAATATTGTAGACTGATATATTCAAACAAACTCATATCCTCAATATTTTGAAGGACTATCAGTAAAAGTGTTGAGGAAATGAAATATTCAAGAAAATTTCCTATTTCACCCCACATGAAAACAATTTATTTAAAAAATTATTCATTTATTTAAAAATAAATTTATTTACTAGATGCATTTGTATCTGCATAACTGCTTTCAATTTATAGATATTCACTATATTGATGTGAAAAATTTTAAATATTTTATTGATTTCTCAATTTAATATCCAATTCAAATTTAAATAAAATACTATTGGCATCATTTGAAGCTTTTGTAATAAGAATTATATGATTTTAAATGAATATAGTTTTAAATAAATTTAATTGATTATAGTATAATAACAATAATAATAAAGCTATCTTTATATTAATTGTATATTTACATATACGAGTGTGCCATTATGGCTCAAATTTAAAAAATTTTTTCTTAAAAGGGTAGAATTGATAATTTTATATTATTTTCACATATATAATCAATACCAGAGTAAAACATAATCCATATTGTCAAATTTTAAATAATTCTCACATAGAGTTATTTAGAGTTCATTAACAAAACTCTTTTAAATTGGAGTCAGACAGTTATTTTAATCTAAACTAACAAAAAGAATTTGTATGTTCCTTAAAAGGTTAAAACTAGTATATATCTCGGTACAATGTCGGTCAATGAAATAAAATAAAAGTAAATAAAAATAAAAGTAATAAAAATCAAATAAAATAAAATAAAGCATGACTGACTTTATGAGTATTTAAAAAGGATATAATTTGCTTAGTAAAAAATCAGGAATATGTCTTACTATACCAATCAGTTGATATGAAGCCAAGCGATGTATAATAGAGAGGTTATAAGAAAGAAATAGATGCTTTTGAATGGGTATCGTAAAGAAGAAGATAGTGTCTTTAAATTTATATGTAATGGGTAATCTGCGTGGACGATAAAAGGTCAAAGCGAAGATTAGAAGAAACATGAAGCTCTAACTTCATAAAATGTTTAGTCTTAAAATTCAATGACCTTAGCGAGATTTAATTTACCTAAACTTTTAAGTTTGTCTTTGATAGAAAGGTTTTATAAAATACTTTTCGTTGATTATTAATACACAATAACATCAATAAGACGAGGTCCTGTCAATGTTTTTAGGGTAAAATTGCGTCAGAACATGAAAAAATTTTTGGATTATATCAGAACTTATGGAAGTCAACTATTAAAGTTTGAGAGTCAATATACAAGCAAATAAAGTACTAAGAACGATTTAGTTAAATTTAAAGAAACCAAAAAACTATTGACGTTTAGATGCTTCTTCAAATACCTTTTGAGATTACGATGAGAAATCGAGTATCAGAAAAAAAAACAATTCAAAAGTCTAGCTCAACTGTTCTTGAGAATACTGCATTACAAAGCTTTATTTTCTGAAATACTCTTAGAAGAAAACCAAAAACATACTGAATTCGAACAGATCCAGTCTAAGAATAAAGATTAAAGTTATAATTGGTCACAGCTGTTTAAACAACTATGAACTGCAGTTAAAACCATTAAAAATTGACTTGAGCAGATATTGTATGAAGAATAAAGTAACACTAATACATATGTTTGAAAAATGCTTTGTCTTTAAAGGAAAATAATTTTCCATAACGAATTGATATACCATATGTAACAGAAGGCCCAACATCGATCTAGAAAAGATTAAGACTTTTCTGAATATAGCAAAAATGTGGAGGAATTACACTCAGAAAATTATTTGGTTGATTTAACCAGATTTTAATTAAAACTCAGGTTAAAATATTCTACCTCGACGCATCATATTGGTTTAATCATGATTTTCATATCTTCGTGCCCACATAGGCTAAAATTAATCTAATAAAATGATCAGGTCAATTTAACTAGCAGGTGGTTAGAGCATATTTTCCTGAGTGTATACATATGTATGGCAAGATACAATACCCCAACAATGGACGTAGTATTACGCATAGCCAAAATTCGAGGTGCTATGACAATTAGAAACTAATACTCGTATGTAATTTGTAGGACTACCGCTGTGGAAAGTGTGCGACAAAACCATATAGCAAAGATGGACTGATGACTTGCTTGTAGTTTGGAATTTTATTTATGTGGTTTAAGTTTTTGCGTTCGAAGAGGAATTGAAGCTGATTCAGAGTTGACATAGAGTACGAAACGCAGACTCTCTCTCTCTCAGTTTGTACCAGATACCCTCTCAGGGTCTCCGATATATCGTTTTTGAAGATTCAAATGAGCTTAATATATATTATTGACAGTTATTATGTGAAGTATGTACCTATATAAAAAATAAATACTCAAAATTATTCATTTAGTATTTAAGAAATATAAATTTATATAAAGGAATTGCTTTAAGTTAATAAAGCACTTAAAGCCAATTATCAACTACTTATAAGTAATGTATTATTTTAAGGGTTCTATTAAACTTTCATGTTGAGTCAATGAAGGATTTTATTTTGTACATTTATTCTTTTAATTACACAAGTACTAAGCAGGTCATTTGTATTCTGAATTTATTTCTTTAACCTTTAGTACAGTTCAAAATTGAACATTTATAAGATATTGAAACTTATTTCATATGCTGATGGATGCAAAAATAATATCTTAAGCGATTTACCTACTTTTATGACAATTTATGAGTAAATCCCCATTTAATCACATTAAAATAAATTTAAAATTCTCTTTCTAGCCAGCCATCAATACGAGTATACTCGTAGAATCCTTATTCCTTCACTATTGACGTGCAGTAAATATAAGGAAGGATATATATGTGTGTATAAGAAATTATGTTTCTGTTTTTTTTAAGGAAGTAAAGCATGTACACATGTGGTACATGTATGGCATGTGATGGGTATGACTGGTAAATGTATATGCTTAGCTTTCATTTATGCAATTTAATAAATTTATCGAACTGTTGCATTAAAATTCAATTCGATGCGTGCAAATTTAATTCCCAAAACCCCAAAAGCATAAGGCAAATTATTTTAATTTAAATGTAAAATTTGTGTGTGTAGTAACAGTTTGTGTGCAGTTATTCTTGTTTGCATTTGTACCGAAGGATATGTCAGGACATTGGTCAGTATATTGCTCTGTAATTCTGTGGATGTACGCACAGCTTTTATACGGTGCATAGTCGGGCTGAAATCTAAGCGAGTTTGTATGGGGTATGGGGTATGGGGTATGGTGTGTGGTGTATGGTTCAAGTATTACTTGACTGGGGCACATTACAAAAATTTTATTAAGGCACAAAATCCCTTTTAAATTCATAAACACAAAACACACACAAATACAGACATAAATAGATACACATACCTTATGCTCTGTTCCGAAATGTACGGGTAAGCGGACGGAATGGCATCTAGCCATGATTGCAAAATAAATAATATTGTATTTAAGTTGAACTAAAACGAAAGGTTATTATTGTTGTTGTTTATGGAGTTGTTGGAATTGTTGAAGTTGTTGGAGTTGTTGGAGTTACTAAAGTTGCTGGCATTGCGGGATATGTTGTATTTGTTGGAACTGTTGTGATTGTCCGAGTGTTTCTTTTCAAAAATGCTGACAGTGTTGTCTTTTGATTTCGATGTACATGGCTATTGCATTTAAACTCTAATAACTTAAATCTTCTGCTAAATGATTACAATGAGTGCGTCTGTGTTAGTAAGTATCTGCGCATAGATAGTATATAAGTATCATTCCATATGCTTTACCGATATAATTTTGTAAATTGTCGCTTTATACTGTTAGTTTGTAGAGGGCAAGCAAAAGTTGACATGTTGCTTTTAGCCAGAGTTCAAGAGGGTTGGTCAGTGGTCACTCTTTACTGGTCACTTGTCAGTTAGTTGGATTTTCGAGTAAAGTTTTAAGCATACAACATTTTTGTTTTGGTCTTTTTTATAAAATACGTGTACTTTAATAAACAAAAATATCAAATTTCAGTTAAATACAAAAATATTTTGTTTTATGGAAGTATAGCTTTACAATTAAAGCTTTATCAGGTTTTGTAAAACAGATTTTAAACAATAGTCTTAAAACTATATTGGTCGAGATAGAATTATATAAATTTAATAATTTCTTACAAGAATAAATTATATAAAAATTATTTAAATAAATAATGTAATATTAATTTATTAAAATATTAAGAATCTACTTATAAATATTTTATCTATCATATTTTCAGTATTTTGTGACGCCCTTCAACTATGGTGCTTTAATTATCAACTCCATATTCTCATATTTTTTATGTAAAACTTGGTACAGTTTTATGCTTGCAAAGACTTTTCGTTATCAATTTATTAGTTGATAGAAATGAGTTTTATTAATCTGAAATATACTTAATAAAAAATATAAACAATGCAACTCAGTGCATAGCAGTTATGCTATTTGAATAACTTCACATTCCCTACGGCGACTTTTTAAACACAATAACCTTAGCGGTAAGAACAGAAAGTTAAACAACAGCCAGAGAATCATATCAGTACTTCTCTACGGGTGTGTCAATTCTTCTATTCAAAAGCTACAAGTTGCTCAAAGTCAGACTCTTCGAAGATTTTTAAAAAAGTCATTGTACGAATGTTATGCTGAGACTTCAGAATAGATTCGGTTGAAAAATACATAATGAAACTAAAGCAATACGCGAAAACTGACAGGCTGCCCTACATAACACTGTCTAATCTCAGAGCAGTCACTAGCCGTATGGGACAGTATGCAAATCTTAGATCACTAATCGAATAATCTGCGAAGCTTGTGAGGAACACATAAATTAGTCAAAGGGAAGGGGAGGACTCTATAGAAACCCCCAGCTAGGAAAAGTAAAAGTGCCTAGTTACACTAACTCGGAAAAACACAAGTTTAATAAGTTGAACTCGTCAATTGAATTCGAAACATGTATGTAGAACACTTTTTTGATTAATAGAATACAGTTGATAACTAAAATATTAATAAATATATTCTAGTATATATATTCTGTTTATTACATATGTTCTAATATGCTTTAAAAAGATTAAAAATCTATTTAAATATTTCATAGGAATATTTTAAATATATGAAATATTTTTATGCTAGAGAAATTGAAATATCTGATCGAAACAATAGTATACGATATATTTAGATAACTCTTTTAGTGATATTTGTAAGTTTTTTTAGTGGGGACACGGCTCATTTGCATAAATTAAGAATTGAGATGTGTTAGACTATAAAAGTCTAAAGAAACTAAGAAGGATGCCTAAGCGATTTATATCTGATTCCAATATTTAATGGGTATTTAGTGGCATTTAAGTGTAAGACTTTTTATTTACGGTTACTTAATTATTTCATTTATCAATCGATGCCTGCGCAACATATTAGGAATATAGTGGCCTAGAACTATTTCGAATGAAGAGTTAAGGAGAATAACGTACCAAACAAATGTAAACAGCGAGATAAGAAGAAAGAAGTATGGTTGGATTGGAGACACACTGCGTAAGCCTTATGTGGATAACGCGCATGCTGCACTTACTTAGACTATGCGCAGAGGCAGACCAGCAATGACCTGGAGAAGGAAGAGTTCAGATCAATAGCGTAAAATAAAAACCAGTGGAAAACTTTTGTAGACTCATTAAGCTCCTAATGGAGTATGGAAATAATAATAATAATAATTACTCAAGCTAGTATATGTGATATCAGAACAAAAATAAGTTTAAAAACACAATAAGACTTCCTATAGCTTTGGACAAGTTCGATAGAATTAGTAGATTAATAAATACTTAAACAATTAGTATCATTTCAATACACATTTCAATTTGTATTCACATAAATACTACTAAAATGATAACTAGTAAAGTGTGTAATTTAATTAATATTTCGATTAAATTAATTTTCTTGTTTTTGCCAAATTTTGTAAATGCAACAAATAAAAAGAAAACAACAAACCAAGTAGAAGGAAAATATTTTTGTTTCAATTTTTATTGTTTTTTCCTGCATTTCCAGGATTTCAGAATTATACTTTATTTCTGTGAATTTAAGTGAAAACTCAATGTAAAACTAAAAGTTATTTTGAATAATATCAAAATTTTAACAACTAACACAGCTGACAATGGATGCAGTTTAATTTTTCCCACATTTCCCTCACATTTCGTCCTTAATATTGCCAGGACGTAAGCGCACCGTACCACCTTTTGTGTGGTTTCTTCTCGAAGTTGTGAATGCAAGTAATTGCATGTGCGTGAAATTTTTGCATAAGATTGTGTGTGTTTGTACAGGCGATAACAAAAACAACTTTGTTGGATAAACAAAAACAATTGTAAAATAATATAAACAATAACAAAGCAAGCAGCTCCAACAGCCATAACAACAAACTAAAGAACAACAAAAACGTTTTTTCGAATTTTTAAGATACAAGATACAAGATACAATCGGGATGTGTGAGTATCTGAG